AGGTCTGTGTGAACTCCTTTAAAACAGCATCATTTCCCTAGTGATTGTGCCCTAAAAGTGTTCTCAGTCTACATTTTATGAATGCAATTTTGTACCTCATCAAACTGAAATCAAACTTTTAAAGTGCATATAATCACAATCCGTTCGCACACAAACAGACACAAACAGCCCTCTTCTCCAAAGCTCCCAAGAAGCAAATGATGCTGTATGACAGAATGTGTGAGTGCCACGGCATCATCATCTCCTCTCTCTCCATCTCTCAATCCTTCACTCCTCCGGGAGACGCGCTCAGTATTGGTAATTGGGAGTTCATGCTGTACACAGCCTATATCCTGCAGCTCCTCTTAAATTAGCCTTGTGTCACTGCATTTATGCCCCAGACTCGAGATTGAATGTGTGTTTATGTGTGTGTGTGGTTATGTAAGGATCTGTTTATATGCTTATCATGCTTGTGTAAGCAATGCTTCTGACCGTGTGTGTTGTGCATGTGTGTGTGAGAGACGAGATGTACTCAATAACTGGATCGCTTAATTATCAGAAGACAGCTAGGTAGAAATCCAGCTCTCTCTCTCTTTCTCCATCTTGTCTATTACTCCATCACTGATTATTTCATCAGTCTGTCTGCAATCTTGGCCCGTCTTAGCGTTATTTTCTTTTCTTTTCTTTTTCCACCATTTCATCTGCTCTGCTTAGGACTGTTCTGTGATTAGTTTGTATCCAATCTGGCTCTCTCTGATATAGGAGACTGTGAGTGTGGCGGCCAAGTCTTCTAATTGCCAGACTTAATCAAACAGACAAATGGGAGGATAGCAGGCAGCCTGTGACCTTTCCAAGATGGCATCCTCGCCTCGGCTCTCGAGCAAGATAGTTGCCAGCCAGCTCCTCTCTTAATAATGCTGACAAATGCATCTGCGTCTGCGACTTCGGTACCATTTCCTGTCCGCATCTAATAGGCCACGTGGCCCCGAATCGCTGGAGCCTGTGATGAGTGCTAACTCTTCCGTGCCTCTGAGTCGCCCGCTAAGGCTAATGTTTTGTCCTTTGACATTTATCATGAGAATCTGTGTTATTTGTGTGCATTGGGAAGGAGAGAGTGTGGAATCTGATGGCATATCCTGAGATTTGGCCCTGGAGAGCATTGGCTGAAAGTGATGCAATATCAAGGCAGGCAGCTTTTTTTGTGGTGTCATTTCTCAGGATCAGTCTGTTTTGAAATGTAGAGAAAGGAATCGTTTACTTTGTCAAATGGTTATGTTTCTGTTCTGATTCAGAGCTTTTAAGCTTTTGCATTTCATGTTGCAAAAGCAATATTGGGAGTTTGATTTAATTTAATTTAATTTAATTTAATTTAATTTAATTTAATTTAATTTAATTTAATTTAATTTAATTTAATTTATTTTTTATTTTTTTTTAATTTTTTTAATTATTATTTTATTTCATTTCATTATTTTTTACATTTAATTTAATTTTTAAATAAAATAATTTATGCACGATTAATCGAAAAAGATTGCGATATCGATTCGACACCTCACACGATCTTAATTCTGCTTTTCTGTGATTCTGCCTATTATATATTTAAGGTCAGGAGAGAAGCGTAAAGGCGGTCACACAAGTCTTCACAGTGTTTTATTTACGTTGCTCAGCAACATGGACACCTCCTAATGGTGCTAAAACTGTCACATACTGTATATATAAGGTATAATTCACCCAAAAATATAATTTCTGTCTTAATGTAATGTATTCACGGCTGCAAAATCACACGTGAGCTGACAAATTTTTTGTGAGAACAGACTTGTGCCCACCAATGATGTCTATTTTAGTAAACAGAACCTGCATACACTGTAAAAAATTTTAAGCCAGTTCAACAAAAAAAATCTTAGTACTAATTTCCTTCTGTTTTTTCTTGTTTACTCAACTTTTGAAAACATCAGCTACACTGACTGAAAATAATTTGTCAGTGAAACAAAAAATGTCTAGTTGAGTCAACTTAACATTAGTAGTTTTCTGGAAACCTGCACCTGCAGCACAACAAATATTTTTAAGTTGTGCAAACTGAACATTTCTTGTCTGCAGGACTGAAATGACAGAAGTTGAGTGAACAAGAAAATACAAAAGGAAATTAGTACTAAAAAATTATATGTTACCAGAGCAAAAGTTGTGTTAACTGAACATTTCTTGTCTGGATGGCCTGAAATGACAGAAGTTGAGTGAACAAGAAAATACAAAAGGAAATTAGTACTAAGAAATTATATGTTACCAGAGCAAAAGTTGTGTTAACTGAACATTTCTTGTCTGGATGGCCAAAAATGACAGAAGTTGAGAGAACAAGAAAATACAAAAGGAAATTAGTACTAAGAAATTATATGTTATCCGAGCAAACACACATGGCTCTGTTTTTTTAAGTTCTGCTGACTGAACATTTCTTGTCTGAATGGTCTGAAACTACAGAAGTTAAATGAACCAAAAAAATACAATTGGAAATTAGTACTAATAAATAAAATGTTATCGGAGTAAACACACATGGCAAAAAAAGACATACATTTTACCAAAACATTCATTTTCTTGCGGTTCTTCACTAAAGTACAAAAACGAGGTAGTGTATCTGTAAAAAAAAAAAAAAAAAAAAAACACAAACACTAAGTCAAATTAATCACATGAAAAGGAAACACAATTATATTAAATATATAACAATTACAGCACATCTCTGAGACTACCTAACACTATCAATTTTAATAACCTTAGAATATCCCATAAATTATTCACAACACCCTGCTGAAAAAACAGCGTAAGCTGGTAAGGTATGTTTTGATGCTGGTCTCAATGCTGGTTTTGCTTGTCTCAATGCTGGTCTTGCTGGTTTCAGTGCTGGTTTTGCTGGTCTAAGTGCTGCTCCTGACCAGCATTGAGACCAGCAAGACCAACATTGAAACCAGCATTAGGACCAGCATTGAGACCAGCAAAACCAACATTAAGACCAGCAAAACCAGCATTAAAACAAGCAAGACCAGCTGAATTACTAGTTGCCTTGAGATATAAATCTTAGTATTTGTTGTAATTCATTTCAAAATCTATACTTGCATAATTACATGTTTTGTACTGGTACCTTGGCTGGTCATGGATAAATATGATATTAAAACTGCCAGTAAAGGATCTTACTTTAGTAATAAGTGTTCCACTGTATACACCTTCAGTTCAAAATGAACGATTTATTACTATTATTTTGGTTTTGATTTGATTTTGTTTGCTTAATATAATAATAAGCAGTTGGAATATACGCGCTGTCACTTTAAGAGCCACCCTAGATAGTAAAATACACTTGGGCCAGTTCCAGCTAGATTCGCTGCCGCATCCGAGCCAGAATCGGCCCGTGAGTAATGTGCGCTGCAGCCCGGAGCTGGCGCAACTCAATATACCTTGATATAAAACCTTTTGGTATTATATTGGTACTTGATACATGGTATTACAACCATTTGCATTTATATACCAGCAAACGCAGGCTATAATGTAAAGGCAAAGTGTAGGCACTGCGTTCAACCTTTGAATAAAATGCAAACAGCATACATATCCAATAACAAAAATTATCAAACAAAGGACAAAATAAATAATAATAAACATTTATTGATTGCAATAAACAAATAATACTAAACTTGAATAAAATATTTTGTAGTGCACAAGTAATAATAAAACTACACAATAAAGACACAAAGGAAGATTTAAAGACAAAATCTGAAGTTGCACACATACACAGAAGTTTTTAAAACAACCCTGTTTTCCCAATAGACTTGAATTAAAAAATTGTACAAGACACATCTTAAAACAGCTTAATTTTATATAAACCTGAATATAGAAACCAATTTAAGATATAGCAAGAAACATCTTACAAATACCCATGACAATATGTAAAATATACAAGTCAAAAATGTAAAAAGAACTGCAGAATTCTTAAGAAACATTTTTAATAAATGTAATAAATAAAACATAATAATACATTTAAATGAGTGAGATGATTATTTATATATATATATATATATATATATATATATATATATATATATATATATATAATTTGACTTGTATATCTTTATATGTCTTGTGCAATTTGTTATTAATATTTTTATTATATTATGTTAATTAAAAATGTATTAAGATGCTTTTTCAGAATTTAGCATATTGTCATTTTATATATATATATATATATATATATATATAAATTGCAAATAAAAGAAACAAATTACCCAAGTATCAGGGAACATCTTAATACACTTAAAATGTTGTTTAAAAAATAAATTATTGATGTAGACATTTGACACATTAGCTTTCTCTTCTTCCCTCCTTCCTCCAGCCCTGTCAGGAGCACGTTGTAGCCACCTTGTAATGCATTTTTCCACTTCTTTATCAGTGATGTGGTATGGACATTTCTCCTCACTACATCTGTGATTAAAAGATAAACAAACAATTAGTAGTGAAAAAGTACAAATGAAAAAAGAAAGATGCTTGCTCTCATATAAGTACAACCTAAATGGGACTATATATAGATGTTTTGTTCCTTTGATTAATGATTCAAAGAAATACACAGATGGAACTGCCCCTAATTGTACTTAAATGTATATTTAAAACCAACTTACTGACTAGACAGTCGTAAGGGAGAGTGCATGAAAGGCCACATTTTGGTTTGCCCTGCTCCAGTTAATTTGTTCAGCCAAAAAGTGAGCCAAAAGCTTTCCCGGGACACACCAAACTGCTTAGTGGAAAACACCAATGATTCCAAAGTAGGCTACCTACGAAGCAAAAAAACACATAAATAAATAAATAAACATAAAACACTTAGAAATAAGCAAGAAACTTACCAGTTTCTTCATTTGTTCGGGCTGCTCGTTTAGTTGATTTTCAAGTTTTTCCAAATCAAATTGGACAAAGAAAGGTCAAATGTGTTTACATCTGGAATTTCATCACGTCTGTTTTGGTTTTGCTGATTTGTGAGAATCAGGCACAGTTGCTGCTTTATGACGTCACATGATTTTAAAACTTTTTTTCAGTCGTGCTAAAAAAGAAAAATAACAAATTAGTATAAATCAACCTGTTGCTTATTCTCATGCAACTTGTGTAAATACAACAGTGGGTTAGACACTGCTGATAGTCTCTAGTTGATCTTTACTTTCTAGCTGCATTAAGCCATTACAAATTTAGTGATGTCTTGAATTCTTACAAAGACATGACGAGTTGCAATAAGTTGTCTTGATCTCCAACTGCACTTGAACAAGGACTGTAAATGTTTATAGGTGTACTGAAATGTACAGCATCTGTGCATCTTGATGGTGTTCTTAAGGATCCTGCCATAGTCATTGGTGGTGATGGTACTTGCGGTGCTGCATCAATTTCTGAAATCTTCATATCAGTTTTTTCTCCAGCCTCTTTGTTCCAAATAATTTTTCTTCATCACGTTCACTATAGTTGTGTCTTTAATGCCCCTTGATCAGATACATTTACAAAACAAAACATTATTTTAGTATAGTGCAGGACACTAGATCAATGACAATGGCAGTGTAATAGATCAATGACATAATGTTGACAGTATGTGTTTAAAATAATTGCAAACAAACCTGTTCTTTCTTTAGGTGTATGACGGGCAATCACCGTCCTCATCTGTCTGCAAGCCAAGCTGAGTCGAGCTTCCTCATGTGTGTCTATAATAAAACATCACATTGTTGTTAACCTCCCCCCAAAAAGTTAAAATCCTGAAATACTATCAAAGTTAATTAATGGCTATAATACCTATGGTGTAAATAATCAGCACACAGGATTTATTCAGAGATTCATGCAGAGAGACAGCCTTATGAATCTTAGACATAGATTTGTAAGATGGCCAAGCACATGCATTATTCGGTACCCATGAAGATTAACCTACCATTGTGGAAAATGTTTGATGATGATGATAGCCAATAACAATAAACCATTTCAGCTGTTTGTGAAGCAATTAGTAATGTAAAGTCTGAAAAGCTCAATCTATGTTGAAAATGTATCAGCAGTTTACAGCTTATAATGGACTTTAATCACCCAACTATAACATGCCTATTCACATGTTCATAAGAATGTGCTATTGGTCTCTGTGATGTGCTACAAAATGACCTCACTAACCTTTGTTAAACAAGAACAGTAAGACTTAACCAAAAAAATATTCATTTATACCCATTCATTTAAATCAGAAAGTGTAACTGTCAATAACCAAAAAATAAAACCCATCAAAATCTGCTTAAGAAATTTAGTTTTACATGCGCAAACTACAACTTGAACATAAGATATAATTGATTCACATAGGCTAACACATATAAATTAAAGCACATACTAATATATTTCTCTTAATAATAGAATGATAATTTAAAGAGAACAGTAAACGATCACTGATGCACTGCATAAACAAGTTAAACAATAACTTAACAATAACCTAACACTGTGAAAATGTTTTAAGCATTAAATTCGCAAAGTATACAGTATACAAGCAGCAAAAACCTTACCTTTCTGACCGGAATCCACTGTTTTGAAACGCCAAACTTCTTTTTCTTCTTGTGATCATCATAGCGGTTGGCAACCAGCTTTTGGAACATTACCGCCACCGTCTGGATTGGAGTTTGGACCAAGAGTTGACTCACGCATGTGTTTCTTATGAAACCAAACTTCTGCTTAAAAAAACAGTCTGCATGGAAGCGTGCTATCTCGAAAATAAGCGCATTTTACACTGTTTTCCCTAGATGATATATATAATCCATTTATAAATAATATTGTTTTGTTTGCATCTAAACATTGCGACCATCCACACTAAATGTTTTTATTATTTTGTTGCTGTTGTACCATATATATTTTCTCAAATTATCATTAAACGTGGAGCTAACAAATTACTAGATAAAATAAGAATTTAATCGGTTGTCATCAGTTACACAAGCCGAGTCCTTATACGAGCCGAGACAGACTCGGGCCAGATAGGGTTAACAGGAATCTGGCCAGTGTTTACAGCTGCATCACAAACGCATGTGCGCGAGCGAGCTGCGGGCCACACTCCGCCCGTATAACACTCGTTGATGCCGAGTCGGAGCCGGAGGCGCCGAAGGGCAGCCGAGCTCGGGCCGATTACTTCCTGCTACCCGGGGCATGGATATGATTTACGGCAACACAAATATTCATTCACTCTTATCACATAACAAAGAGAGATTATGTGAATAATCACTAAGCGCCGCATCTGCACACATTTTTGCGCGTATATGATGAACATTTAGGAGGACAAATTTAGATGAAGTGTCTTAAACAAAGAACTACAATCTTTGCACACTTACTATTAAGATTGCTCTTCCACGGCTTGCCTCTTTCCCCACCGAAGTACAATGCTTCCAGTTTCTCCCGCCTGAGACGTTGACGTTACGTAAGCGCAACCATCGTAACGAGGGCGTGGTTTAGCTCAAGACAGAATGATGCTATATCGTCCTTTGAGAAACATATTTTTGAGTGCGTGGTTTATTTTTAAATATTGGAATATCAAAGTATGCCTTTCTTTTTTTAAAGGGTAATGAATAAACACGAGATGATAATGTGCGTGCAAGCTTATTTCTGCAAATGTGCACCAAATAAAGTTAAATTGCAAATGAAAAGTTTCAAATAAAGTTACTATAAGTATTGTAGTGTTTTTTGTTGTTTTTAATAACAATGTGAAGAATAACGATATTTATTATTGTTTTAATAATAATAATAATAATAATAATAATAATAATAATAATAATAATAGCATTTTTACTCAGCATTTACTTTTTACTACAAACCATGAAAGGTTCTATACTCATTCATTTATTTTCTTGTTGGCTTAGTCCCTTTATTAATCTGGGGTCGCCACAGCGGAATGAACCGCCAACTTATCCAGCAGGTTTTTACGCAGCGGATGCCCTTCCAGCCCCAACCCATCTCTGGGAAAAGGTTCTATACTGCCATTGATAATTTTTTTAGAATATTTAACATGTTTGAAACCTTTTCAATCAACAAAAGGTTATGCTACTTGTATATTCATTGCATTAAAAAAAGTCAGAGATTGACTTAACACAAAAAAACATGTTGGCAGATGCTTTTTTGAATGAACTAGCAAAGTGTTGCTCACAAAACTCATCTTTTTAACTTAATGAATAAAATCTTTGTTTAAGTTGATTGAATGTGTTAAATGTAGTTGTACAGACTTTTTTACAGATTTTTGCTGAACCAACAAAAAAAATCAAGCAATTTCAACATTTGTCAAGTTGGATTTTTTACAGTGTAGGCTGTGAATAATAGCTAATAAAAGTGTAAGTTTGTTGCACAGAGTGATCGTTTAAGAGCCACGCAGGAAGTAGGAATTGCATATATGCTTTTTCCTTAAAGTGACGGCAGCCATGACATGAGCTGCACTCGGCAGTGAAAGTGAAACCGAAAGCGCATGTCATTTCACTGATCATATCGCATAATAGAATTAGGATTACAATCACTTTACCGTGCATTAACAAGCAGGAGATTTAAAATCTGTTCTAGCCCACCGTTCCAAGTCTATACAACATTGAGCATTTTAACCAACATTACACCTACACATAGGCCTAATATTGTTATTGTTATTTTACCATATGTTTAAGAAATAACAATAATATTAGCCTACTCATATTAACCTTTATTTTACATCTACTGAATTGTGAGAAAATTGTGATCTTGATTTTAAGCAAAAAATATTCTGATTCTCATTTTAGCCAGAATCGTACAGCCCTATGTGCAATTACAAAAAACACCAGCAAATTAAGACCTTGCTTCAAACCCTCACCATGCATACACATTAAAAAACGCACTGCATTTTCACACAAAGCAAATAAATTAATAAAATGTGCTGCATTTTCTCACAATGCAAACAATTTACGAAAATGTGATAAATTTTCTTACAACACTTGCAAAAAGAATGGAACACAATAGAAAAGTTTCAAGCAGACCCAAAAACGTGATGGACAACGTTGTCTATTGGTCAGCAAAGGTGATCTTTGAAAGGTGACTTTTTTATTTTTATTTTAACATCCTGATAGCCTTGTCCTTTGTATTTTATTAGCTGAAATAACCATAACCTAATTAATTGGGTCCGTCACATTTTAGGGTCCTCTTAAAACTTGAAATTTCCATTGTGTTCCATGCTGTTTGAAAGTGTTGTGAGAAAATGCAGCTCGTTTTTGTAAATTGTGTTGTGAGAAAATGCAGCTTGTTATTAATTTATTTGCGTTGTGTGAAAATGCAGTGCGTTTTTTTTAAATGTGTATAAATTGTGAGGATTTACAGCATGTGTGCTGTCAAATGGATGAAGATCTTTTCTTAATTTGCTGGTGTTTTTTTTTTTTTTTTGTAATGCATGTGTTTTCTTAAATTGCAGCATGTTAAGCTCTCGCGGCCACCATAACTTTATTTCATTTTATTTTATCCAATAATAGTTTTAACTTTATGTAGGTATTAGATAATATGTATTTTTATGTATGTCTTGATGAAGCAATTCAGCAAGAAGTTGTTGAATTATTATTAATTTCATTAATGTGCACAATTAGCAAAATGTGTGTATATTTGAGAAACATGTTTTCTTTCACAAACATTAAACATGATTACACATTTACATTTATTTAAAAACATTTCAAATATTGTTGCTTTTTTTTAAACTTTAATGAATTTGAATACTGCTTTAATTACATTAAAATGAGGAATGGAATTTAAAAGGCATTCTTCGATTGATAGCTTTTTAATACTTCTGAAGTACTAACAGTGTTTAGTGCCAACCGACAGCTTGGTCCATCTTGGCAAGTCATTGATGTAAACACAAGCGCTTCAGCCTTAAATGAATGTAAACAGATCTGACAAAAATCCAGAAGCATGTCTCAAGTGCAGATCTCTGCAGTAAACCTGCAACCAAAGCTTTTGTGTTTATACTGTATATTTGAGTGTGTGTGCGTGTGTGTTTGTGTGTGCTATAGTGTGTGTATTTGTTTGTTTTTGTTCTTAAGCATTCATGTGTCATATTTTGTTGCACTTTGTCTGCAGTATTGCTCCATTCTTATGCAGTTGTGCTGGTTAAATCAATTGAAGAGGCCTTGTACACCCGTGGACCAAAATCTCTGAATGATATACTCTGTCCCTGACTGTCCTTTTCATTTGTCTTTCTTGATTTCCCACACCTATACTTCTATCAACTTCATGTGATTCATGTTATTTTTTTAAATCCATCCATCCATTCATCCATATTTGTTTGTTTCTTTCAATGCAAAATGCTGTTGCTTTCAACGTTTCTTCATATTTTCCATCCATCCATCCATTCATCCATCGATCAATTCATCATCCATATTTGTTTTTTTCTTTCTGTTCAAAATGCTGTTGCTTTCAACGTTTCTTCAAATTTTCCATCTATCCATCCATCCATCCATCCATCCATCCATCCATTTATGCAACCAACCAACCAACCAACCAACCAAACAACCAACCATCCAACCTTCCATCCATCCATCCATCCATCCATCCATCATCCATTCATCCATCCATCCATCCATCCAACCATATTTTATTTATTTTTTCTATGCAAAAATGCTGTTGCTTTCAACATTTCTTCAAATTTTTCATACATCCATCCAACTAGCCAACCATCCATCCTTCTTTCCTTCCTCCTTTTCTTTCTTTCCTGTGCAAACATGTTAATGCTTTCAACATTTCTTCAAATTTTCTATCCACCCACCCACCCATCCATCCATCCATCCATCCATCCATCCATCCATCCATCCATCCATCCATCAATCCATCCATCCATCTATCCATCTTTTTTTCACATTTTTTCTATCCTTTATTCCTTCCTTCCTTCCTTCATTCCATATTTTCTTCCTTCCTTCCTTTCAAAGAAATGAATTTAAATATAACCATCCATCCAACCACATACCCTCAAATAATTATTTTTTTGTTGTAAGGTACTGGATTAAGATCTGGTGACTGTGAAGGCGATATGAGCAGAGTTCACAGTTGGCACTAATTCTCCAAAAGTGTGTCTAGAAAATTCTCCCCACACCATTATCTCACCGGCAGCCTGAACCCATGATAAAAGGCAGGGCTGATCCAAGCTTTCATGTTGTTCACACTAAACTCTGACCCTACCGTCCAAATGCTGCAGCAGAAATTAGAATTTTGGTGTGAATAGTAGCATTTGCCGTCATGTCAAGAGTGTCAGCTAATGTTTATCTCTTGTTGATGTTGCTCATCTTCTTCAAAGTTTAGTGTTTTGTGCTTTCAGAGATGCTCTTCTGCAGACCTCAGCTTTACAGAGTGCTTATTTGATTTACTGTTGCCTTTCTATCATCTTTAGTCTGACCATTCCCATTTGACCTCTGACATTAACCAGGCATTTTCACCCACATAACTGCCACTCACTGGACATTTCCTCTTTTTTTCCTGACCATTCTGACCATTCTAGAAGTGGCTGTGCATTAAAATCCTAGTAGATCAGCAGTTTCTGAAATTCTCAGCCTAGCCCATCTGGCACCAACAAATGAAATCACTGCTATTCCCCATTCTGATGCTTAGTTTGGACTTCTGTAGATTATTTTCTCCACCTCTACTTGCTGAAATGCTCTTTGAGTTGTTGCTATGCGTTTCGGTTAGATATTTGTGTTAACAAGTACAGTAGATAGGTGCACAAATAAAGTGGCTGGTGAGTGTAACTGGGACAGTAGTTACCATGCAAAGACTGCACAGAATGTTCTTTCCTTGCTTTCATGCTCCTTGAAAACCTGCTTTTAAAAGGCTAAACTTAGAGCAGTACACAAGACATCTTTAGATCTGTATAGACATCTAGTTTTGTTGAGCTTTTTAGGAACAGACACTGTAACGTAATGTTGGGTTCCACACAACTGATTTGTGTTGGGACAACATGAAGGAATTAAGTTAACTTAAAAGTTTTAGCAGTATGTAAGTTTGACACCCAGTGGTTGAACTAGGGATCAAAGCTAACACAAGTGTAGGTTGCCAGATTGACCAACAGAAGCGAGTCTGACGATTGAGGCTAAAGGCTGATTTAAGTCATGTTCAAAATACGCGATAGAAGGAATATTTTCCATATTAAAACATCTCGATTTGACAATATTAACAATTTGAGTTTAAATGTCAATTTACATGACATTTATTGCCATACTACTGAAAGCAGCTGAAGATCGTTCACCTCAGAGCTTGAAAATAAAATAAACTGTTTGAAATTGAAGTTTAGAACTGTTAACGTTACTCAAATCTAACAGTGATTCAGCATGTACATTTAATAATGTTAAAGAGGTTTAATATGTATTAAATAGATAATAAACCTTTTGCATATTTTGTGCTTCTGAATGGTTTTTAAAATTTCTGTCATGTTTCTTCTGGTGCAAACAGCCAAATTGCTTATCACTGCAAATCTCATCATGTAGCGTGTTTTTCGGACATGGAGTTGCAATGTAACCTGCTCACCTAATGTTTATGTTTGTTATTTTTATATCATTTGCTAATTAATAACATCATGTAGAACTTTGAATCTGCATCTCATTTCAGAGTCTACTACTGTCCACCAGAGGTCACATTACAGTCACAGACGCATGCTTTCAGAGGTTGTCTGAATGAATGAATGAATGAATGAATGAATGAATGAA